AAGCGCTCCCGCAGGAGTTCCCACAAGCTCCCAACTCGATTGGAAAGTGAGAAACAAGGTGCCATGGTCGGCGTTACATGAAAGGCAGCGAATCGCATGCGACGAGGCGGTTTCCTCTGTAAAGCAGAATGGAAAGCTAAGGCAAATGCCCCCAAACAAGCAAGCGTCCAGAGCATGCACCACATCCCGCCTTCAAATTCAGGATGCCGTCCCTATCCATGTCGAACTTCTCAAAGATCTGCGGAAACCCGAGGAACAAAATCCAGTCGCCCTTGAGTGTGAGCTAGCGGCTGATCTCACGAGAAGCAGTTCTCAGATTGTCTTGGATTCATCTCTTTTTCTCACCAAATAGCGAAAGAAATCCAAAGATAGGCGGTTTCTCTTCGACTCTAACAAAATGAAGCACACTCACAAGCAGTCACACCCTGAGCGCATCACGATCCATCCCCTGACAAAATGGCACAAACTGACTCACTATTTTCCTCTTTGAATCGCCGTCCTGATCAGGGCATTCCTTTATAGGTAGAGTTTCCCTTAAGCGGCCGCCTGGAAAAAACATCCCCAGTGGGGAGAAGGGGACCAGCTGAACTCCGGGCCGATGGGAATGGGCAGGTCCCGCCCGTGCTAACCCCCCAAAACCTGGCCGTGTGGGAAACTCTCGATGCGAGAGGAGACAAGGCGCCCCCGCGCTGTGCAGCCGGGCCCTCTCAAGATGTCAGCCGCGACATGCAAAGGCAAGGTCAAGCGTCTCCAACTCGGGCAAAACGAACGGACCTTCACAGCCTCCGCCCAAACGGCCGAACTCGGAGAGTGGCCAAATGACTTGAAGCTGGCGGGTTTTTTGTTTTTTTTGAATGAACTGTCCAGGGCAGAGGCTGGAAAAATACAATCGGGAGATCCCCCACTGGAGTGGGAAACGACGACGTTAGGTCCAAATGCGACTGCCAGCCGGGCAAAATCCATCGAGAAGGACCCTCACAGCCAAAATGGCTGTTGGAGCGCTGGGGTCCTGCCGATCAACACCGAGTTCTCTTGGAGCTGTGTCCGGTTCTCGTGTCAGAACTCTGATATACATTTCCACTTGCCTCAGCTTTGCACTCGCTAGGCCGCTACACCCCGAAGGGCCAGCCCAAAAGATTAAGCCAATCTCACGTACGCACGCCCTCCCTGGACAAGCTCTAAAAAGGCGGCTCTCCATCAAGGGGCCCTCCAGTCGGAGCGCATAAATCCTGATTCTGCCCAGAACCTGATTTTTTTGGGAATCACGGTGAACTTGTTTTACCCCCACGTGAGCTTGCCATATGGCAGAAAGCGTTGCCAAAGCATTTGGCTCCTACCAAACCGAGGTGCAAGATGACAAGCATTCACAAGGTGACATTCTTGCCCGCCATATTGTGGAAGGTTGCAACATCCACTTCGCACCACCGTTCTGAAACCCTGGTTTATGATCCGATTCCCCACCGCAAATACCATAACAACCTTTATGGCTTCCTTCAACCACGGCTTCATCTCCTTGTGAACCCAGCGGATTTCGATTTCAAGCAGTGTGAACAACTTCCATTTGGTCAAGACCCCTGTAAATGATTAATATGTGTAGATATATATATATATATATATCCAGTAGTGATAGATTCCCTTCAAAACCAACACGGGAAAATAAGAAATATGTTTAAGCAGATGGAAGACAACAGCTTCGAAGTCACTGCATTCGGGGCTTGTCCGGGGGTACCGAGTCAAAGTGACTGAGTCTGTTGCACGCCTCCCGACTCACTCTCGCCCGGAGATCCAAGAAATCTGGCCGTGGCCGGCCGCGGGCACGAGCCGCAAAAAGTTTGCCGCCAAGGCAGCTCCCAGGTGTTGACACAATCAAAACCCGGTAGTAAAATGGTCTACCCAGAACCATGTAAAGAATGTTCCGAAGCCGGCCGCAACTATTTCTGCTTCATCTACCGGGTTTTGATTATGGCCCAGGTGTTGGTTGACACAATCCAAAAGGGAACGCAGGTTCCAGTCCTTGTTTCCACTTAATCGGGCAACCCATCTTGGGCTCATTTTCTTTTGACCCACGCTGGGGCTGTGACAAGGGGTGGTTGAGATCACAAACACCTGCAGCGTTGGAACACCAATGCGTCTTAACGGACATGATTGGAGAACGAGAAGACCCGAGGAATGCAACCAATGTGGCAAATGGCTGCAGTAGCTGATATATATATATATATATATATACAAACACACGCACGACGTTGTCTTTTTATGAGTGCACCTGTTTTGCCATTGTTTTGAAGGGAACCAAGGGGAAACCACCCTTTGAAGGGCTCCCTCATCGCACGACTTGACAGCGAGGGAGCCGCCCTTTACCTCGTTTTCTACTGAATTCAGTACCCCAAACTCAAGGTTTCCAAAGGCAGTTCAAAAAGGCTGCTGGCATGGCCGTCAAAACCCTGGTCCCCCCCCCACACTTTCCCCCAGAGTCCGTGGACTAAACCCAAGGGGGGGGTTC